GCGGCGGGGCTGCCAGATCCAGAGTGGGCAGGGGTCTTTTGGGGCCGGGGTGCGCCAGAGCGCTGCTCCAGCAGCCCATGAGCCCGCGCTAATGGCGGCGGCGGCAAGCCCCGCCCCTAGTTTGCTGCGTTTCGGCTCGAGGGAGGCCGGAGATCCCGTCGTCACGTCACCCGGCCCCGCACAGGCGCACGGGGCCTCTGGGGCGGCAGGAGAGCCCCGCCTCCGGGTACCCCGGGCCCACGCAGGAGTGCTGCAGCTCGAAGACAGCAAGAGAGCCCCGCCTTCATGTCCCCTGGGCCCGTGCAGGAGCACTGGGGCTCAGGGGCAGCAGGAGAGCCCCGCCTCTGCGTCCCCCGGGCGCACGTAGGAGAGCCCCGCCTCTGCGTCCCCCAGGCCCGTGCAGGAGCACTGCGGCTCGGGGGTCAGTGGGAGAGCCCCACCGCCGGCTTCCCCGGTACCCGCCAAAGCAGTAAGGGATCTGCGGGGGTTGGGGTGGCAGGGGCTTGATGGGGGTGGTGAGAGAGCCTCCCTCCCTCTCTCCCTCTCTCTCTTTGCCATCTTTCTCTCCTTTCCTTTTCTTTCTCCCTTTCCCTTCTCTTCCTTCCTTCCTTTTTTCCTTCCTTTCTCTCTTCCCCTTCTCTTCCTTCCTTCCTCTCTTTTCCTCCTTTCCTTCTCTCTTTCATTCCCGCCTTTCCTTCTCTCCTTTTCCTCTTTTCCTCCTTCTTCCCTTCTCTCTTTCTTTCTTTCCCACCTTCTTCTCTTCTCTTTTTTTCTCCTTTCCATGTTTCGTCCTTCTTCCCTTCTCTCTCTTTTTTCCATCCTTCTTTTCTTTTTCTCCCTCTTTCCTTCCTTCTTTCCTTCTCTCTACTCTCTCTCTTTCCTTCCCTCTTTTCTTGTTCTGTGGCTCAACTCTAGTGAGAAGGAGTTTAAACTTTAAACCCCTTCTCTCTTCGCTCCCCCCCACCAGCTGCGGAAGGGAAGGGGAGGCTTTTGAAGATGCCTCCCTTCTTTTGCTTCTTGGGCATGGCATATACTAATAGCCTAGTAGCTCATTAGCATACCATATGCTAATGAGCTCCTGCCGCTCTTTTTCTACGAAAAGACCCCTGAGAGTGGGACATACCTAACAAGTCCCTGAGAGTCTTCTACGTGCACCTAACTGACTGTCTCTGCTTCTCCAGGTCTACCACCTTGGCCTCAAGGGAGCAAACCCGTTCCCTAAGAACCAGGAGCTCCTTGAACCAAGCACACACCCAAGACTTCTGTCCAGTGGGCAGATAGTCATACATGTGACACTCCGTGCAAAACACTGGATAGCCCCCAACCCCCAGTTGGCTTTCTGGCTTCATAATTGCTTGTAAATAATAATTAGATATAATCCCCCTTTTAAAACCCTTTGTATTTGTGTGGTTCTCCTTATAGAAGTCTACCTACCTTACTGGGAACCCAAGGAGACAAGGGCCCTGGCTTCCTGGCTCTTCCTGGGCTTCTTACACAGTCCCTAGGCTAAGAGCCACAGGTGAAGGGCCTCACCCTTCGGCTCGTGCCAGAGTCTTCCTGCCTTAAATAAAAGTGGGTGTGGCTAGGATAGAGTGTGGCCAGCAGCTATTCATATTCACCCAGGCACTCAATTACAGTCAAACAATGACCCTTTCACACTCTGTCTCAGAAACCAGGACTCTGCAACAACTCACAACTCAACCACACACTCCCAAACAAAGTCTCCCCACACAGTACCCTCTCAGCTAAATCATCTCAGCTGAAAGTAAATAAAAAACACTCACCCCTATAGCAGCTCTATCTCATGCTCCTTCTCAGAACTCAGCTAGGTCAGCTCTGCTTCTAGCAAGCTTCCTCCTTTAAATAGAAGTTTCCCCCAGGATATCTGATTCACTTCTGAGCGACATTTTGTACAATCATACAGCCATCTGGGGAAGGAGGAAGGATCTGAAATCTGGAGACTCAGGTCCTTCTGGGCAAGTTTTCAGCCGTGGCACTTGAGGGGCTGAGTTATAGTTAATACTAGATATTCTAGGGAAAGGTGGAGGAGTGGTTAAGATCAGCCAAGGTGGACAAGGCCAAAGGGCTTTCGTCAATCCTTTTTTACCACAGTCACATAGATGCATTTGGAGCTTCCCAGACCTCCCAGGTGCTAACAGGATCTCTGTCTTTATTCCAGCAGTAAATAATCAGAGGAAGGAAGAGGGTGAGGAAGTTCATCAGCAAATCCCAGATGAAATTAAAAATGAAGACTTGAAAGAAAATGTCACGACTCCACGCAGACCGATGAGAAAGAAAGTCAGTCATATGGTTGAGAAGAGAGATGAAAGACAGCATAATGTAGTTATTCCAAAGCACAGGATAATAAAATCAAGTAAATCCATTAGGTGTGAAAAGTACTTCAGAACTAGATCACAGTTCTTTGTACACCAAAGAATAACGTTTCAATGCTCAGAGTGTGGAAAGAGATTCAGTGTGAGGCAGAATCGTAAACAGCATCTGAGAAACCGCACAGGGGAGCAACCTGTTGAATATTCAGTGTGTGGAAAGAGATGCAGTGTGAGTGGTAATCTTCCAAAGAATCTGAAAACCCACACATGGAAGAAACCTTTGAAATGTTCAACATGCAGAAAGGGATTCATTCAGAGTGGCAGTCTTCAAGAGCATCTAAGAACCCACACAGGGGAGAAACCTTTTGAATGCTCAGAGTGTGGAAAGAGATTCAGTCGAAGTGGTACTCTTCAACTACATCGAAGAACCCACACAGGGGAGAAACCTTTTGAATGCTCAGAGTGTGGAATGAGATTCAGTGAGAGTGGCAGTCTTAAGCGGCATCAAAGAACCCATACAGGGGAGAAACCTTTTGAATGTTCAGAGTGTGGAAAGAGATTCAGCATGAATGGCAATCTTCAACGGCATCGAAGAACCCACACAGAAGAGAAACTTTTTCAGTGCTCAGAATGTGGAAAGAAATTCAATCGGAGTGGCACTCTTCAACTCCATCAGAGAATCCACACAGGGGAGAAACCTTTTGAATGCTCAGAGTGTGGAAAGAGATTCAGTCGGAGTGGCAGTCTTCAACGGCATCGAAGAACCCACTCAGGGCAGAAACCTTTTGAATGTTCTGAGTGTGGAAAGAGATTCAGTCAGAGTGGCAATCTTCAAGAGCATCAGAGAACCCACACAGGGGAGAAACCTTTTGAATGCTCTGAGTGTGGAAAGCGATTCAGTTTGAGTGGCACTCTTAAATGGCATCAGAGAACCCACACAGGGGAGAAACCTTTTGAATGCTCAGACTGTGGGAAGAGATTCAATCAGAGTGCCAGTCTTCAGGAGCATATAAGAACCCACACAGGGAAGAAACCGTTTGAATGCTCAGAGTGTGGAAAGAGATTCAGTCAGAGTGGCAATCTTCAAGAGCATCAGAGAACCCACACAGGGGAGAAACCTTTTGAATGCTCAGACTGTGGAAAGAGATTCAGTCAGAGTGGCAATCTTCAAGAGCATCAGAGAACCCACACAGGGGAGAAACCTTTTGAATGCTCAGACTGTGGAAAGAGATTCAGTCAGAGTGGCAATCTTCAAGAGCATCAGAGAACCCACACAGGGGAGAAACCTTTTGAATGCTCAGACTGTGGAAAGAGATTCAGTCAGAGTGGCAATCTTCAAGAGCATCAGAGAACCCACACAGGGGAGAAACCTTTTGAATGCTCAGACTGTGGAAAGAGATTCAGTCAGAGTGGCAATCTTCAAGAGCATCAGAGAACCCACACAGGGGAGAAACCTTTTGAATGCTCAGACTGTGGAAAGAGATTCAGTCAGAGTGGCAATCTTCAAGAGCATCAGAGAACCCACACAGGGGAGAAACCTTTTGAATGCTCAGACTGTGGAAAGAGATTCAGTCAGAGTGGCAATCTTCAAGAGCATCAGAGAACCCACACAGGGGAGAAACCTTTTGAATGCTCAGACTGTGGAAAGAGATTCAGTCAGAGTGGCAATCTTCAAGAGCATCAGAGAACCCACACAGGGGAGAAACCTTTTGAATGCTCAGACTGTGGAAAGAGATTCAGTCAGAGTGGCAATCTTCAAGAGCATCAGAGAACCCACACAGGGGAGAAACCTTTTGAATGCTCAGACTGTGGAAAGAGATTCAGTCAGAGTGGCAATCTTCAAGAGCATCAGAGAACCCACACAGGGGAGAAACCTTTTGAATGCTCAGACTGTGGAAAGAGATTCAGTTTGAGTGGCAATCTTCAACAGCGTCAGAGAACCCACAGAACGGAGAAACTTTTTGACGTCTCTGAGTGTGAAAGAAATTCAGTACCAGTGGTAATCAACTGCACTGAAGAACCCATATAGGGAAAACCTTTTGAATGCTCAAAGTGTGGAAAGAGATTTACTGAGAATGATATTCTTCTACTGCAACGAGGAACCCACAGAAGGAGAAACGATGTAACTGTGTATCCGTGAAAAGAGCTTTTCCTCTATTTCACACCTAAAACAAGTCAACAACAGATGATATGAAGTATTGAAAAGGTAAAAAATGCTGTAAGAAGCTTGAATCTATACTGAAACCTTATGCGACTGTGGGAGAAATATGATAAATATTCAGAGTGTGGAAGGAGCTTTAGCCGTGTTCAAAACGTCAAAAATGGAATTCACTGCCACATGAGGTGGGGGCGGCTACAAACATGGACACCTTCAGGAGGGAATTAGACAAGCATATGGAGCAGAAGTCCATCAGTGGCTATTAGACCCAAGGTATAGATAGGAACTTTCAGTTTGGAGCAAGTGATGCTCTGTCTTCTGTGTGCTTGGGGGGGTCAGCAGTGGGAGGGCTTCTAATGTTCTGCCCCCACTGGTGGACTTCCTGATGGCACCTGGTATTTCTGGCCACTGTGTGACACAGAGTGTTGGACTGGATGGGCCTATGGCCTGATCCAACATTGGCGTCTCTTATATTCTGCTGCATGTAGAATCAGCTGATCTCTCCTTTAACATCGTGGAGTTCTCCTGGGAAAGGAACCTTCTCAATTCGCAACAAGAGGTTAAGGCACAGGTCCAATCTTCATGTTCCTCAGAGAATCCATACAAGGGTGAAACTTTCCTATATCTGGCCCTGGTGCTGGAAGTTCATAAAGGCTGAGAAAGTAGCTACACAAAGAAAGGGCTTTTCCGTTTTTCCCCTCCACTGTGAAACTTGCTATTTTAGCCTATCTGCCATTCTAACTCTGGCATCTTCAAAACTGGCAAAAATAGTTCCTTTCCCAAATTCTATGAAGGAATAGACAAGTTGAGAGGGTAAGAGATATCTACATCCTCTCTCCTAGTGGCGTAAGTATAGTGTGACCAGCCGGTACCACAAGCATTTTTATCTGACAAGCCGTTCTAGAGAGGCATTTCTGAACCCTCATCCCTTCCCAGTCCAGCCTGCTGTGAGCTTCTTGGGGGTCTCACCACATTGAAACCCAAAGCATTCTGGCAGTAGGATTAATTTGGGTTGAAAGGGAAAGGTTGTGTCCCCTAACCCAACATCTCAGTAATTTCCAGGGAGCCAGACCCCCCCTCCCTCCCACCCCCTCCCAACAACCAGTATTGTGGACATGGACCAGTATCCATGGAGTTGGCAGGTGAACCTTGTGGGGCACAGATTCCCCAATACAAGTTGTCCTTCCCATACCACCTTTAGATTCTCACAGAGAAAATCAGGAGGGAGGAGTAGGATTCCCTCCTCCTCCTCTGAACACCACTATTGGCACCACCTGTGCGTGCGCTAGGAATGACCTGGACCGAGCCCTGGGCCAATGCGTACCTCCCTCCACGTCTTCCTCCTCAGATCCCCCCTTGAATTCCTCCATTGAGATCGCGCTTTAATGGCACCAACTGATGAAATTCTCTTTCTGTCTCCTTCCTTTATTTTGGAGAGGTCTCTGTATTAACAGGCCTGAAGGGGAAAAAATATCCTTCCTAATTCCCAGAGACTTAAAGTGAGTGGAAAAGTTAAATGACATCCTGTAAAGCCTCTGTTAAAGGGACAGCACTTTCCCCCTCCAGGCAGTTGGCATCCCTAGATTAAGTGTTTCTTTATGAATCAGAGAAAACAATACTCAGCTAAGGAAGAGTCACAGCTCTATAAGGGTATTATTGTTTGTATCAGGGAAATAGGGAAATTAGACTTTGTGTGTTCTGTGCTTGGTGGGCTCTTTGATCTCTCCCCAGCTGTGATTTGAGTGGATTGAAAATTTAGAGATTTGTATTTAAGGGGATGGCCCAATTGGTCTGCTTACCCATTGTCTTCCAGGGGCTTGAGGTTTGTACCTGCCCTCATTCATGACTGGATCAGTTAAGTTCAAGACCCAGAGTGTTGGGTTATGGCTTGGTAGATCTGGGTTCAGATCCACAGAAGGCCTGGAAGATCTTGTGATGCCTTTTAGCCAGTCACATTTTCAGGCTAACAGACCTTGCAAGATAGTTCTACGGATTCACTCTTTGTGGGGGAAATGGTTTAATGGGATTGCCCAATTGGTCTGCTTACCCATTCTCTTTCAGAGGCTTGATATTTGTACCTGCCCTCATTCATGATATGGATCAGTTAAGTTGTAAGGATTCGGTCTTTATGGGGGAGGCATCTTCGAAGAGATGCGTTTGATAGCTACAGCTAATACCCAGAATAAACCTTTGTCTTAAAGGCAGCACTAGACTTAGACTTTGTTGCTCTGTCCTCAAAATCAATTCAGAAACTCCAGGTGGAGAAGAAGCCAAGGCTCAGCTATTATCTGGAGCTAGATGGATCTTGCCTTGGAGCTGCGGTGGCTCAAGTGGTTAAGACGCTCCCCTTTATGGGGGAGGCATCTTCGAAGAGATGCGTTTGATAGCTACAGCTAATACCCAGAATAAACCTTTGTCTTAAAGGCAGCACTAGACTTAGACTTTGTTGCTCTGTCCTCAAAATCAATTCAGAAACTCCAGGTGGAGAAGAAGCCAAGGCTCAGCTATTATCTGGAGCTAGATGGATCTTGCCTTGGAGCTGCGGTGGCTCAAGTGGTTAAGACGCTGAACTGCAGGCTGTGGAAGGTCAGTAGTTCAGCAGTTCAAGACCCGGGTGCCGCAAGACGGGGTGAGCTCCTGTCTCTAGTTCCAGCTCCTGCCAACCTAGCAGTTCGAAAGCAAGAAATTGCAAGTAGATAAATAGGGACCACTTCGGTGGGAAGGTAACAGCGTTCCGTGCGCCTTGGTGTTTAGTCATGCCGGCCACATGACCACGGAAACGTCTTCGGACAGCGCTGGCTCTTCGGCTTTGAAACGGAGATGAGCACCGCAACCCTAGAGTCGGACTCGACTGGCTTTCGAGCAAGGGAACCTTTACCTTTAGATGGATCATGCAAATGATTCCCATCCTACACTGTCTGCCGATCGGTTACAGGGCTCAGCTTGAAGTATTGGCTACTAGGAATAAGGCCTGTCATGGAAATAAATACAATGAGGTCTAGAAAGAGGCTCTGGGAGAGTGCCAAGGCCTTGGACACTCAGTGTCAATTTGCTGTGGCGGCCTCAGCAGGGTATAGTAACACAGATCCCACCATTTTATCCAGAGGAACTGATCTCTACTACCTGAAGAGCAGTTGTAATTTTGAGTGATCTCCAGCCCTCACCTGGAGATGTGCAAGAATTGTTACCCAGGAGGAAATGGCTGGTTTGGAGGGTGGAGTCTATGGCATTGTACCTGTCTGAGGTCCAACCCTTCCTCAAACCTTGCCCTCTCCAGGCTCCACCCCTCAAATCCCCAGGAATTTCCCAACCTGGAGTTCACAACCCCATCTCCATCCCAGCTAACCATCAACCTACCATTATCTGCTCCTATAACTGCAGCCGACTTCTGCCCTCCCTCCTGGAGATCAGTTGTAATTCTGAGTGATTGCCACCCCTCACCTAGAGATTGGCGACAATTGTTATCCTGGAATAAATGCTTTGGAGGGTGGAGTCTATGGCCATTGTACCTATCTGAGGACCCATCCCTCCTCAAACCTCACCCTCTCTAGGCTCCACCTCTTGTATCTGCATGAATTTCCCAACCTGGAGTTGGCAACCCTATCTCTTTCCCAGCCAAGCATCAACCTGCCATTATCCACTGCTCTGATTTCAGGTTTCCATCTCCTTCCCTTTCCCTCCTGGAGACCAGTTGTTATTCTGAGTGATCTCCACCCCTCACCTGGAGGTTGGCAACAGTGGTTCCCCAGGAGGGAATGGCTGGTTGGGAGGGTGGAGACTGTGGTATTGGGAATGTCTGAGGTCCCACCCCTTCTCCTCAAACCTCTCCCTCTCCAAGTTCCATCCCCCAAATCTCCAGGAATTTCCTACCTGGAGTTGGCAACCCTATCTCCTTCCCAACTATTTCTCCCTCACTCTTCAGCTTTCCATCTCCCCCCCCACATGCAACCTCTACCATGCTCTGGAACCCTGACTGCCATGTCACATTGGCTGTCATGGAAGGGACATCTCAGCAGGGTATAAGGACACAGAGTCCACCATGTTCTCCCTGGGAGACTGATCTCTGTCATCTGGAGAGCAGTTGTAATTCTGAGTGATCTCCAGCCCTCACCTGGAGATTGGCAACAATGGTTTCCCAGGATGAAAAGTTGTCTTTCTCTTCAATGGGGACCAAAACAGCTTGCATCATTCTCTTCTCCCCCTTTTGACTTGCACAACAAACCTGTGAGGTAGACTAGACTGAAAGTCTGTGACTGGTCCAAAATCACCCACTCAGCTTCCACAACAGAAACCTGGTTCTAGCAGACTGTGCTCTGAAGCCTAGGGTAGCCAATCTCCAGATGGAGCCTGAAGATCAACAGGTATCACAACTGAACTCTAGGCAGTAGCTTTCTCTTCCCCCCCCCTGAAAATAACTGCTTTGGAAGGTGGGCTTTATGGCATTCTGTTAAGCTGGGGCCTCTCCCCTCCCCAAACCCTGGCTTCCATAGACTACCAGAAAATCTCCAGGAATCTCCCTACCTGGAGCTGGCAACCCTACTCAGGACTGGCCCCAATCAGTTCCTCACAAAGGCCTGCGAAGGGGTTCCTTCTTCTCAACGAAGCTTAGTTTCCTACTGTGGCGAAACGGGCTCCAGTTTACACCTCAGCTGTTCGCCTCCCACCCTCATCCCGTGGGCGTATCTCACTCTGAGTTCGCTGCCACCACTCACTGAATTGTCACTGCCTTTTTAGAGGGACAGTGAGACC